CCACGTGCTGGGTGGCGCGGCCGTCACGGAGGAAATTGTGCCAGGTACCCCTGTCCACCCTGTGTCCCCCTGACCAGCCCTGGGTGTGGGCATCTCCCTCCTACACTGCCCCACATCTTCCAGGCTTCAAGTTTTCCCGGGCATCGTACCTGCTCAGCCTGCTGCGGCCACAGATCTATGCTGAGCTGGAGCTGCAGGTACCAGCACCCATCCCTCACCAGGCTGCCGGCACCTCCTGGCATGGTGAGCCTGCTGCCGGGCCGTCCCCGCAGGATGAATCCTACCATCCCTGTCCTGCAGCGCCATGGCCTGAGGGTGCTCCTGCGGGACCCCTACTCCTTCACCCCGCTGCTGGAGGACAGGAGCCCCCCTCGCTCCCTCCTGCTGGGGCACAACATAGCTCAGACCCAGCAGCAGATCGCTCAGTTCTCCCAGAAGGATGCGCAGGTACTATGGGGGTACATGCCTAGCACAGCAAAGCCTCCGAGGAGCTGCCCTGCCCAGCAGAGCAGCAGGGATGCTCCTGGGTGGGGTATCCATTGTACCCACCACAGTGCAGTCCCTCCAGTCCCTCTTTCTCTCCCTCTGACCCCTTTCAGGCTTACCCTGAGTACGAGGCATTCATGGGGGGCTTGGTGTCTGCCCTCGACCCACTGCTGGATGCCCCCCCAGTGGACACAGCTGCCCTGGGGCAAGGCTCCCTGCTCCAGCGACTCAGAGCCCTGCAAGCCCTGCGGCCCCTGCTGCGGACAGGTACATCTTGGGATGCTGGGGGACCCTGATGGCAACAGGTATTTGCCTGCACCTGGAGCTGGCGATGCAGAGCTGCTCCTTCCCAGAGCACAGGCTCTCCAGGAGCCCCAGTGGGATTGGCAGGCTTGCCAGGTGCCTGCTCCCAAACCTAACAGGGTGCAGGCAGCTGGCCCGTGCAGGTCTCACACCACCCCTCCGCCCCCAGGGCTGGTGCTGGGGCAGCAGCTACCCCGCTATTATGAGGTGCTCACAGCCCCCATCTCCAAGGTAAGTGCCAGCAGCAGTAGTGTGGATGCCTTGCTTCCATCCTGCCTTGCTACCATCCTGCGAAGGGTGTACGGCAATACCTACACCAAGCCTGGTGCTCTCTTTTTCTCCTGGGCCAGATCCTGGATCACTGGTTTGAGTCGGAGCCTCTGAAGGCAACTCTGGCTACTGATGCAGTGATTGGAGCCATGGCCAGCCCCCACACCCCCGGCAGCGGGTGAGGGTCCTTTCCCTTCAGGACTCATGGCTGCACCCTCCCCCCAAAACCATCCTCTGTGCCAGCAGCTCCTCAGCTCTGCTGTGCCCCAGCACCCCATGCCCTACGCCGCTGCCTCTCCCACCACCCGCTCAGCCTTGCCAGGGTGGTGTGGGGGTTGGGGCTGAGCAAGAGGCTGCCCCCATCCCTGTCTTATGGCTCTCCCGAGTGGTCCCCCCTGCCTGTTTGCTGTTTGGACACCTCTGTCCCCAGGTCAGGTCAAGTCCTGGCTGGTGGGTACTCCCTGTACTCATTTAGTACCCTACAAGCTGGCATGGTCCCACCTATGGTGACCGTGGCACCATGCTCACCATGCCCATGCAAGGGACAGACCCGTCCCCTCCGCCGGCACCTAACCTTGCCGCCGCAGGTACGTGCTGTTGCACCACGTGATGGGCGAGCTGGAGGGACGGCGGGGGGCCTGGGGGTACGTGGCTGGTGGGATGGGGGCCCTGTCCCAAGCCATCGCCTGCTCAGCGACTGCCTGGGGAGCCCACATCTTCGCTGAGAAGGTACGGGGTGTCTGGGCACGGGGAGCTGACTGGGATGCTCTTGGTGAGATGCTGTCCCCTCTGCTTGCCCAGGCAGTGTGCCAGGTGCTGCTGGGCAGGGACGGGCGGGCGCAGGGCGTCGTGCTGCAGGACGGGACAGAAGTGAGGAGCAAACTGGTGCTGTCCAATGCTTCCCCCCAAATCACCTTCCTGGAGCTCACGCCCCAGGTACGACTGGAGCTCACCCCCCAGGTACGGGGTGCACAGGGTTGGCAGTGTGGTGGTGTCCCCTGGCCGGGCTGCCCCCCTCACTGCTGGGCTCTGCCCTGGCCTCTCCCACCCCAGGACCAGCTGCCACAGGATTTTGTCCAGCGGATCCGGCAGGTTGACACACGCTCCCCTGTCACCAAGATCAATGGTGGGTACTGACAGGGCCACCTCCACCATCTCCGCTGGAGGGACACTGGCTCCAGGCTCAGCAAGAGGCTGCAACCCGTTTCTCCCCTTCCCCCCCTCCCACACCCAGTGGCGGTGGATCGGCTGCCCAGCTTTCTGGCTGCCCCCAACGCCCGTGATGGCCAGCCCCTGCCCCACCACCAGTGCTCCATCCATCTCAACTGTGAGAGCACCCACCTCCTGCACCAGGCCTTTACCGAGGCCACCCACAGGCACCCTTCCAGCAGGTAGGCACCCGCACTGGCACACCTGGTTGTCCCGGGAAAGGGGAAGGACAGCCATGGCGAGTGGTGCTGGGGGAAAGAGGTTTGGGATGGCTGGGTCCCCCTCTGCCTGCCCAGCTAATGTCCTGCTCCCCCAGGCCCATGATCGAGCTCTGCATCCCCTCGGCACTGGACCCAGGGCTGGCCCCACGGGGCTGCCACGTCGTGTCCCTCTTCACCCAGTACACCCCCTCTGTGCTAGCAGGAGGGCAGCCCTGGGATGAGCAGGCCAGAAATGCATACGCGGACACGGGTGTGTAATGCATACGTGGACATGGGTACATAATGCATACGTGGTCCCGGGTAACGTGGGGAGCACTGACCCCTGCCCGTGGGCAGAGCTGCCCTGGAGCTGCGCAGGGGCTGGTCACCATGTCCCCCCGAGCTGTCCACCGCTCCCTGCATCCCTTTCTAGTGTTTGACTGCATTGAAGCCTACGCCCCGGGGTTCAAGGCATCCGTCATCGTCAGGGACATCCTGACACCACCAGACCTGGAAAGGATCTTTGGGCTGCCTGGTGGGGTGGGTACCACGTGGGCTCAGCTCGGAACATCGCTCTGGTGCCAGTGCTGGTGGGCACACAGCCCTGGGCCAAGCACAGCCTGCTCACACAGAGCTCTGCTTGCAGAACATCTTCCATGGAGGGATGTCTCTGGACCAGCTGTATTTTGCCCGGCCAGCACCATCCTACTCAGGCTACCGGTCCCCAGTTCCTGGCTTGTACCTGTGTGGAAGCGGAGCTCACCCTGGTGAGTAGGGCTGGGAGCCAGGACCCTCCTGGGGGGCTACAGGAGGAGGGCAGGGGTGCATGGAAGTGGTCTAAGGTCAGCATGGGGTGGGGGGTGCCCACTCCCCTCTCTGCCCTCCCATGGGCAGGGAGGTGGGGCAGCTCTGCTTGTGCAGCCCTGTGCCCCACCCTGGGGCTGGAGTTGCCCGCTGCTCCCCATTTCTGCTCTCGTGCAGGAGGAGGAGTGATGGGAGCAGCAGGCCGTAATGCCGCCAGGGTGGCCCTTGAGGACTTCAGGCGCTTGTGATGGCAGTGGTGACCCCCACTTCGCCTACGCAGAGTCGCGGCTGCAGTGAGCTGTGTTGACCCCACGCAGAGCCCTGCCCATCCCCAACCTGCTTCCCAGGCACTGCCGGGCAGCAGCATCCCCTGAGGGCTGGGGGGGTGCAGGCTGGCAGGGGCACTTGGGCTTCCTGCTGCTCCCGTCACCTCCAACACTGGCCTGCCCACAGCCCAGCGTTGCTCAGGTGGCTCCTGGGCACTGAGTGGCCATGGTAAAGCCTCGCTCAGCCCCTGCCTGTGCCCGTGGAAATAAACTCTGACCCAGGCTCTGTCTTGAGCGCTCTCACTGGGTTTTTTCAGCTCTTTGTGCAGCTCCCAGCATGCTGGTGTGGGTCCTAGAACAAGGGGGATAATCAGCCCCCAACCCTCTCCTTCACTCAGGGATGCAGGCTCAGGTGCGTGCAGGGCTATTGGGGTGGTCCAGGCCAGCCTGGGGCTGGGTGGTCCCAGCCAAAGGTGCCTAGAACAAGCAGACAACAGGGAGGTGCTTGAGACCTTCTTTGCTACCTGGAGCCCCCCAAACAGTCCTCTGCC